TCAGATTTGTACTTTGATATATGAAAGTGAATATCAAGCTTGTTTGTGCGGAAATAAGACTGTATATAAAAATGAGTCTGTGTTGTGTATAGTGACATATATTTTATGTTTACCCAGTGCTGTGCTAAACTTTGTGCTTGGCTTTGAATTATATGTATATTTACACCTGACTTTTTTTTAAATAAAAAGAAAGATTTAAAGGTCAAAAAATAAAACCTCCAAAAGTTTATAACTCACTAGCAATGACTAGCAAAGATATTGAAGTATATAAAATGCTGGATAAATAATTCAAAAGAATAACTATTTTAAAAAGAAGATTGAATTCCAAGAAAAGTCAGGAAAATTATTGAACTAAGAAAGGCATTACAGAATATGAATGATAAATTCAAAAAAATATAGAGATATTGAAAAAGAACCAAAAAGAAATCTTGTAAATAAAAGGCACAATAAGTAAAATAAAAAATTCAGGTGAAATGACAGCCTCTTTAATATATTAGAGCATGCAGAGACATAATCTCAACCCTTAGAGATAAGGTGATCATTCAGATAGTATTTAAGAAAAAAAATGAAACTACAATAAGACTATATAAGAACTCTAGGATAATATTATCAAGTCTAGAAGACCAATCACAAAGCAATCACTAAGGCTCACAGGCATTGAGGAAGGAGGCGAGATAGAGTCAAATAGCATTGATGACCTATTTAGTGAAATGATAACAGAAAATTTTTGAAACATTGGGTTTGAGATGAATATCCAGATACTGAAGGCTTGTACAGCACCAAATCAGCAAGATCAGAAAAGATCTCTCCAAGACATGTTATAAGTGAAATACAAAAAAACAAAAATACAGATGAAAGAAAGAATTTTAATAGTTTTCAGAGAATAATGTCAAGTCACATATAGAGATAAACCGGGAAGGATAATATATGACTTAGCTCAGACTCTGAAATCCAGGAGGGCTTGGCATTAGATAATCAAACCCTGAAATAAAATAATTGTCAATCAAGATTACTATATGCAACAAAGAAATCATTCACATTGGAAGGAGAAGTAAAAACTTTCCAAGATAAGGATAAAATAAAAGTATTCATGATCCCTAAGCCAACACTACAGAAAATAGTTAAATAAATACTACACGCAAAAGAACTCCTACACAAACTACAATACTCATGTGCAACAAAGAGATTTTAAGCAAAAATCAATCAGAAAAGATAAAGAAGGCTATTACCTACTTATAAAGGGAACAATCCAATAAGAATTATAATAATATCAATATTTATTTTAAAAATACATATTGGTGTACCTAAGTACATAAAACAAACTCTTCATGACAGTACATCTAAAACCTAAATGCAATAATACTAGTGATTTCAACATATCCTCTCATTGATAGATAAGCAATCCAAATATAAAATCAATAGCTTCTCTTTTGCTGAGTCTGGCTTTGAAGTTGTGATACTCCTGCCTCAGTCTCCAGAGCTGCTGAGATTACAGGCATGTGCCACCACACCCAACTGGATTAATAATTAATCAACAATTTGAATGGACTAACTGGGGTAACTATAGGCAGATGGACCATGGCTGGAGGAAGTAGATTTCTGAGGGTGTGACTTTGGAGATTATATCTTGTCCCCCTGGCTCCTCTTTCTTTCTCTGTGTTTTCTGACTATGATGAGGAAACCAATATTCCACTGCCATGCTGTTCTTTCTGCTCTTGGGCCCAGAGCAATGGAGATAGCTGACCATGGAATGAACCTTTCAAACCATGGGACTAAGTAAACTTTTTCTCCTCTAAATAGTCCTAGTCAGGGTTTTTGTCACAGAAAAGAAAATAACACTTATGATCTAAATAATACCATAAATAAAATGTATCTAACAGACAGTTATAGGCTATTTCATCCAATAACAGTTCACTCTCTTCTCAATAGCTCACAAACTTTCTCCAAAATAAACCAAACTTTAAGTCATAAAGCAAGTCTTTGCAAACACAAATAATCAGTATATTTTCTTACATCTTATCAGACATAATGGAATTAAATTAAAAATAATCAACAAGAAAAATATACAAATCACATAAACACATGGGGAATAAACAATTATCTTTTGAAAAGGAATGGGTCATAGATGAAATGAGAGGAGAAACTAAAAATTCCTAATCAAACAAGAATAGTAATACAACATTAAAAAATCTCTGGGACATGTATAGAGGTATTGATAAGAAGAGATTTTGCAGAAGTAGAGGCCTACATTTACAAAAAGAAAAAAAAACAGATACCAAATAAACAATCTTACTGTGGAGCATAATGTTCCACAATAATTTATGGTAATTTAAGATCACTGCCTAAAAAACAATTGTTCCATTATTCTATTCTATAATTATCATTGACCACATGCCATCTTGGGCCAATATTATCATCAGCTGTAGGGGTCCTCTTAAAAACCTTAGGGAATGTTCCTTAGGCTCTAAATGTTATTAGATGTCTCTTCTCCTTTCACTTCAGATTTTCAAATGCTGTATCCTTTTATGGCCTCGTACTCAACCTGCAGCACCTGGGGAGCAATATCTTCCTGTTCCAGGTTCTCTTTGGAGCCATCATGTTCACAGCCAGATTTGTTTCCCTTTGGACTCTGAATTACATGGGTGGTCGAACAAACCAGACACTGTTCTCCTTCCTGGCAGGAGTTTTCATTCTGGTCAACACATTTATGCCCCAAGGTGAGAGAGAACAAGGTTTGGGGAATTTCCTTAGGAATTACATCATCTTACCTTCCTGATGCCATAAGAATATCATTAAAAGCCAAAGATTCTTTGCAGTTAATATGAAGGTTTGAAATGGCAAACTCTTGGCAGAACTTAGGTTCTGACTGTGACTATATCCTTAAGGAATGGTTCAGACACAAAGCTGTCCTGACCACATCCATGATGAATCTGAACATCAGTTCCAATGGTATGAACAGTTTCTTTAGACATGCCTCTGGCTAATTACACTTTTTTTAAATTTGTTATATATGACAGCAGAATGCATTACAATTCATATTATACACATAGAGCACAATTTTTCATATCCCTGGTTGCACACAAAGTGGAGTCACACCATTTGTGTCTTCATACATGTACTTAGGGAAATGATGTCCATCTCATTCCACCAACTTTCCTACCCTCATGTCCTTTCCCTTCCCCTCCCACCCCTTTGCCCTATCTAGAGTTCATCTAATCCTCCCATGCCCCTCCCAATTACACTTTTCATAACAATCATGGAGGGCGTAGGCCTTGCAATTGCATCTCCAAGTGGGCATGTGATACTCTCCCTGGGACTCTTCCTGATTTTTAAAGCCTCCCAAACTCAATATATTTTTAGGAAAGCCTTCTTGAATACAATGAAATAAAAATCCTGTGTCTTCAGGCAGAAAGGAAGAGCACAGGAGGAATAAGGCAAAAGTATAATCTTAATATGTCTTCTAATAGATTTTTAATTTGTCCCTAGGCAAGAAACAAATAATGAATTCCACTTTTATGTATAATTAAAATGTACCAATTAAAATCAAAAAATAAATAAAAGACCAGTAAAGTAGAGAAAGGGGATCAGAGGGATGGAGAAGGTGAGTGAAAGGTGAAGGTTAGGGATTGAAATGGAACAAGTTATGTCATATGCACTTATGAATGTATCAAAATGAACCCCACTATTATGTACAGTAATAATGCACTAATAAAAACACTAGAAACAGATTAAGAAGCTAACCAACTTACTTTCCGTGGTCTCCATGCTCCACCATATTCACATAGCAGAAACATATTTTGTAGGATTTCAGACTAGAAGTCTTCACTCTTACCCCCAACAGGAGAACAATCTCTATTTTTTGAAGTCCTATTTAGAATATTTTACTGAATTAAAAATAAACCATTTAACCTTTCTGAATTCAGTTATTCAAAAGTATGTGATTAATTCCCAGTATGAAACTATTCATTTCTGAATAGGATTCCTAATGTAAGGCTTTAAAATCCTGAATTGTTTCCTAAAACTTGCCTCTCTTCACATTGTCCAATCCCTTTGTCACTATGTGGAGGAGGACCTGCCCCACATCACACATTGTTCCCATACTCTTAGTTCTAAGCTGTTCAAGACACGGGTCATTAACTCCTCAGTTTTCGTTCACATATAGTTCTAGGCCCTCCAGAAAAAGCCCTGAAAAAAATTTGACAGAGTAAATAAAAACAAATATTTCCTGATTTCTCTATTCCCACCATTATGAGCAATACTCAAATGTGCAGAGAAAATTGAAGCAAGAGATTTAGATCCTTTGGTTCAGTGTTTCAGCCCAGCATTCAGCAGCTCATCAACCACTCCGTCATCTCTGAGGGGTTGCATTTTGTCTGTCATTTGTTTCTCACCTGCAAACCCTACAACAGAATCACCTCACAATTAGTTAGAGAAAGACAGATTTCTTCAACCAAGATTTTTTTATTCTCCCTGGTCTCTTCTCTCCAGAAATGCAGACTCTGCGTGTGGTTTTAGCAACTTTGGGAATTGGAGCTGTTTCTGCTGCCAGCACTGGTTCTGCTCTCCACCAAATTGAGCTCCTCCCCACTGTATTCAGGTACAAGAGCTAAACCACCTTCTATCTGCTTTCCAAACAGGACTTTCTGAACTAATTGACACTTACTGCAGGGAGAAAACTGAGACTATTTATGTATCCAAGACATGAATTTTAATGTAAACTTTAAAAGCAACTAATAACCCACAATTATTTAAAACAAACTTTATGCCCCACAATGTACCACATCCTTTTCTGCAGCATTTTGTTTAATCTTAAGAGCCACTCTACAGGATCGGTGCTATGGATATTCTTATTTTAATAATAATGAAACTGATTAATTAGGAATCAATAGAAGTCAATGTCACAATTAAAAGCTGGTTGCCAAAGCATTATACTCTGCTGTATTGTCTCCCAAAATAAAATGGAGTTGACAAGTGAGAACATATATATA